TTCAAATATGAAATGTGAAATGTTCAATTATTTTATACTTTTTTTAAATATTATTAATATTTAATAAATTACATAAATCAACCAAAATTATAGAACATGTATAAAAATTGGAATTCTGAAAACAATTGATTAAAAGTTCAAATACAATAAATAAAATTTAAAAATGGATAAAATGTAAGGGAGAGGGGCGTATTTGATGTTTTAGAAGGAGATTATATTTTATTCTGATGGTATATTAGTAAAATATAGGTTTGGGCAGCCTTGTTCCAGCTCATTCCATGAGGTAGGGGTGGAACAAGTTTGTTCAACTTTGTTCTTGTCTGTTCTAAAAGTCATGAATGTCAAACATGGAGCAATGATCATTGTTCTATTATGTATTTTTTAGTGTATCAAATGCATCCTAAATTACTAATCAAAATAGATAAAAGAGTAAACATGGTCACTATTATTTCACTTTATTATGGTTGGGTTCCTTGTCCTAACTTCATTAATCATTGTTCCATTAAATCAAGGTTAATGTTATCCTTTTATTTTTCTTTTTAAAAAAATAAAATAAATAAACGAATATATATATATATATATATATATATGTGTGTGTGTGTGTGTGTGTGTGTGTCATCGTCCTACCCACCACCGACATTAACGATGGCAAGATGAAGAAGATCGGGTCACGGGAAGAAGATCTGACTTTGGTGATAGAGGCAGGGACCAAGGAGATGGTGGTGGATGTTTGTTGGATGAAAACGTGTTAGATAACCTATTGATTTGGTGATTACCCACTAATATGTTCTCCTGTCCTATCAACATTTAGTAGTTATTGGTTTCTTTGTATATTGGTTTCTTGGTACACACTTAAAGTCTTTGGCAAAATCGAAGACTAGCCAATGTGAAAACAGAATGTCACCGATGTGGTACTGTGGATTAATAGTCTAAATTACATACTAAGACTCCAAAGTAACCGATTTGAAGATTGAATATGTTTTGAAGCTACTGGTTGATTGAAGAAAGATCTTCATGCACCGAGATTTGTAAGTAGTTGTTTGAAGCTACTAATCCATCCAAAGAAGATCTTCTTACAAACTGACCATGTTTCTGCAAAACATGTACCTGATAAAGACATTTCTTATCAGTAGGTTTGTCTATATATTAACAGTGCTGGGTGTAAGCAGTATACGATGAAAATGATATATCAACTATGGTAAAGTCAACTTTGCCTTCTTATCATAAGGTGACAAGTATCCCCATGCATTAAATGCATAAAGATAGTATAAAAGGTAGTTTGCATCTCCCATGCAAACAACGCTTTCCTGAAAGAATTTCTAAGTACATTCTCAATCTCAAGGCAATTGACTCTTTTCTATTCTCCTATTCTCCTGTGTGTGAAGAAAATCTTAATGTTCTTTAATTCCTTGCAAGTATTCTTTGTGTTATTCTTGTAAGTTCTTCTCTGTGTAAGATTGTTTAGGTTAGGATATCATTTCCTTCTTCTGCAACAATCTATATTATAACTCTGTGTTCTTGATATACATCAATAAGAATTAAAAAGTTGAAAAAAGTGTGTAATTTTATTCAACCCCCTTTTTCTACAATTACTTTATGTTTATTGTCATCCCATTCGGGACCAACAAAATTTGTTGTTCAAGGTCCTAAAGCACGTCGACACACGGGCCATAGGTGTGGCAAGTTGTGTGAGTAGGCAGTGGCATCATAGAAAACACTGAAATCCATGTCTTCTCAAATCGAAACTAGATTCAACATTGGTAGATCTTCTGTTTCTCAATTTCTCCTAAACTCAGTTTTTTTTTATTTTTGGGTTTTTAGGGAAACTGAATCTACAAAAAAGTTTGATAGAAGGAAGGCTGATGAAGAAATCGAACCTAGATGTATAGTGTGGAACGAAATCGTCGGAGTTGCAGGTGTGGAGGGAGGGGGAATCGTCGTAGTTACAGTGTGAGGCACGATTTTGCTGGAAAACTGAAGTAGGAGAAGGGGGAAGATTAAGACAAATATGATATATGTAGGGACAAGAAAACTAAGCACATTCAATCGAAGTTGCTTTACTTGCATCGTAGTTTTCCCACCGATTCGAATCAATAATGGATCATTGGTGTTAATTTTGTATCACATTCAATCAAAGATATCATAAATTTGACCTTTCCCAGAAAACTAAGCAATGGTTGGATACAATTTCTTTCCAAAAAGGTGTTGTTTATTCTAAGTAAAAATGATATTTGGGGAAGAACTGAATCCATTTTTCATCTTTTTATACATTTCTTTCTCCATATCACCCAACAGCAAGATCGGTTCTATGGATATTCGCGGTCTGGTATGGACAGTTTTATTCCTCAAAACCACAAACCGTACCACAATGACGGTTTAGATTTTTTTTTAAACCTAGCGGTTTGACAACAATTAACCAAACGGGATCACAAAAAGGCGGAGTGATGTGACTGGTTTAGGTCTTTTATGGGCTTTAAACTAAAAAATCATAACGTCAATACCCAAAATAAAATTTATACTAGTAAGAGATTAAAAAAAAGCTATATTGAATCTTTAAAGAAAGTTTATCTCAAAAATTAAAAAAAAAACATTGATGAATTTGAAAAAAGAAGTTAAATAAGTCAGTGTTTTAGACAATATTGATCAAGTTGAAGAACGATTTATAATTTTGGATTTGATTCTTAAAAGATTTCTAAATGAGAAATGAAAACTAAAAACTTAATGTTTTGGACGGACTTTTTTTTTATTGGCCAATGAAATTAAGCTTACAACATGAAAACTAAATATATTAATACATGTGTATTTTTGACGGTAGATTCGGTTCATACCGCTCAAAAAAAACCTTCAAACCAGACCAAACCGATCGGTTTGTCTTCAGATTGGACCTGTCAGACTGCAAAACACAGTCAAGTTTGACTTGGTTCGACCGGTTTAAGCAGTCTAATGGTTTTTTTTAACATCCCTAATAATTTCTTGTTTTAAAGTAATGGTGATATATAAACTCTCAATTGGTTCAGAAGAAGAACCGAATTTGGCTAGGGAAAGATCCCAGAAAAGTTGATTGAGTTTACAGAGATATTGGTTTATGAGATTGTTAGTCTCAACAAAAAGAACTTGACCGTTAAAGTTTAAGTCGAAGTTACAGTGATAACTGATAAGGAGAGAGATGACCTCTTTGGGAGGCGATGCTCTGTGCATAACTACATATATATATATATATATATATATACATATATATACGAGTTATTATGCAACATTTTACATTTGTACAACCAATACAATTCAATCTGAACCGTCTAATTAATTTGATGAATATGTGATTTCATAAAAGTTTAGATTGTTTCTTAATACAAAGTATTGATCATAATTAATGAACCTTAGTCATCTTCCATAAATATTCAAATCATAATAAATGAACTCTCATCATTTCCATAAATATCTCAATCGATTGAGTTGCATTGGTTGTACAAATGTGATGAGTTGTATTTGAAATATCCTCTATATATATAGGGGTGAGTTCATTTGTTAACCAAATATATGATGTTAACTTTACAAACCTCAATGAACCAATAGAAAACAAGATATACTTTTGGTTGATGCACATGATAAACTTATTTAGTAAGGGTAAAGATGTAATTTTTTATTTGATTTTTTTAATGCAAATTAATTTTCGGTTACATTTCTTAATTATTCCATTTCTTGCCATTGTGAATATCTCATGCAAATTAATTGTCGGTTACATTTCTTAATTATTCCAAGTAAATTTATTGTCGGTTACATTTCTTAATTATTCATAGATGAACAATCTCGTTTCAACATATGTGAACCTGATAAACACATGCACGTAACAAAAACTGAGTATTTAC